CCCCCAGGGGAAATAGTCACACCACAATCCCTTCTCCTCCATTCTCCTCTCGGAATCTTGGGCATGCACGCACACGCGCCTGGCGTGTTTTAAGCCACTGGGTCTGGGACGCAAACCACGGTCGACTACGTGGGAGTCCAGCTACATAGCCATTACGCTAACTGCTGGTTCCCAAAAATTCTATGAGACATTAGAATCAACACTCAGAATTAAGTGAATCACTTATAGAATTGTAAAATATGGTTATAAAATTTGAAAAAATGCCAAACAGAGGTAAGAGACTTTATGTAGATATTAAAGTTATTGATTAAGGGAATGGGTAATGTTTAAAAAATTTTTATTAAGAATTATTCATTTAATTTTATTTATTATTATCATTATTTAATTTGACCAGAAAGAGAGAGAAGAGCAAGGCACCAGGTCTAGGACTTGAACTGCAGTCAGCCATGTGGGAGTCCAGTGCCTTAATCACCATGCCATCTGCTGGTCTCTACATTTAAAATTTTTGACAAGAGTGGGGGCAGTAAGTGACAGTGGTTAAGGTGCTGGAGTCCCACATGGCTGACCACAGTTCAATTCTCACAAGGCCAACTAGCGGCTTCAAACATGGCAGGCATGTGTGTATGTGTGTGTGTGTGTGTGCATGGGTGCCCAAAATCCCAAGAGGAGAATAGAGAAGGGATTGGGTGTGGCCATCCCCTCAAGGGGTGAGTATTTTTCACTTTCTCTGTGTCTCTGGTGAGTACATGCACTCTATAGCAAAAATCTCTCTTAAAAAAAGAATAAGATCTGAATAATAGTTTTAGATCTTCTATTAGCTCCATATTCCACTTTGACTTGGGTGAGATTCTAAAAATATATATATTTGACAAGTTTGTTATGATAACTTGGACTGTCAGAGACCAACTGAATTAAAATTGAGAGAAAAACTTTGACATCTTTTATTTGAATCTTTCTATCACTGATTTAGATGCAGATTAATGTTTAAAAATTTATCCTTTCAGGCTGGCAGGTGGCATGGTTAAGGTGCTCGACTCCCACATGACTGACAGTGTTTCAAGCCCCAGACCTGGCGGCTTGCTTTCTCACTATTCCTCTCTCTATCTGTCTCCCTTTGGTCAAATTTAAAAATAATAAGTAAAATTAAATAAATCTTTTTTTAAAAAACCCATCCTTTTAAGTTTCTCTAGTGATTTTTTTTTTTTTTAAAGATTTTTGCTATAGGGCACATGTGCTCATCGGAGAGACAGAGACAGAAAGCAAGAAATTACCACCTGGAGGTGGGGTGGGGAGGGATGGTCACGCCGCAATCCCTTATCCTCAGTCTCCTCTTGGGATTTTGGGCATGCACACACATGTGCCCAGCATGAGTTTTAAGCCACTGGTCTGGGACTTGAACCACAGTCAATTATGTGGGAGTCCAGCAACATAACCATTCCGCCATCTGCTGGTCTCATGATTTTTCTTTATATTCTTAGACTAAAACTCAAATCCCTTTCCAAAGACAGCAAGACTCTAGCTTCCCTATAAGGCCTCATGTCAAAATATCAATCTCTTTACTCCTGTTTTCTCTCATATTCCCTCTTCTCAGCACCCAGAATATAGGACAGCTTTCCCCATCACTTAATGCTTTCCATAGACTGTTTAATCTCTCAAGAATTCTTGGACCTATGCACTCTAGAGACTGGATTTTTCTTATCTTGTAAGTCTCAGGATAAATGTTTTTCTTGTAGAAAGGCTAGACCTGCTAACTCCAAGGATCATGTCTTTTATTTTTCTCTTTTTTACTATTCTAGCACTTTATTCCTTTGTTTCATTATATCATTAATTTTCTTATTTGATATTCTCTTTATTTATATTCCCCAAACTTCTTCAAGAGCAGACAATAATGCTCATTGTTTCATCACTGAATTATAAGACCCCAGAATGTCATAAGTGCTAAATAATTAATTGTACTTACTTCATTTGAGTTTTATTTTTCTTCATCCATTCTAAATATGCTAAATCTGTGTTGCTTCATATCCTTTCCCATGTCATCTCTTCCTTTCCCTTACGGGCAAGGCCAACAGTTCTCTTTCTTCCCAGATAAATATCCTAATGCTTTTTTATTTTTTTTATTTTAAAGAGAGATATTTTTGCTATAGGACACATGTGCTTGCTGGAGAGACAGAGACAGAAAGCAAGAAATCACCCGCCCAGGGTATGGTCACGTCACAGTCCCTTCTCCTCCATTCTACTCTCATGATTTTGGGCATGCACATACATGCACCCAGTGTGAATTTAAAGCCTCAGATCCAGGCCTTGAATTGCAGTCAGCCATGTAGGAGTCCAACCACATAACCATGACTGGTGGGGCTGGCAGGTGGTTAAGGTGCTGGATGGACTCCCACATGGCTAACTGTGGTTCGAGTCCCAGACCTGGCAGCTTGCTTTCTTTCTATTATTATTTTTAAAAATAATAATAATAAATACAAATAAATAAATAATTTTTAAAAAGAAAATACTGGTTAAAGGATATGAAAGAATTTTGTGTGTTATTACATACTTTTTTGACTCTGAAATTACATTAAATAGTTAAATAAAGAAGCTTTAATTCCTGACCTGGGTATTGTGATGTGGTTGTTTAATTTATATAACCCATTAAACTATAAATTTATTTTATGTTGTTCCCTGTATTTGTCTATATTTTTGAAAAAGTGGTTTAAAATTTTAAAATTACATGATTGATTTTAATCATTCTTATTCCTAGCAATTCAATTAATACCTACCCGACTCCTAACAGTGTCACTCTCCTCTTAGGAGCTCTATGAGGCATCTTCAAAGAATTTAGAGAAGTGTAATTATGAAAACACTATGCATAGGTTGCAAATTTCTTGCACCAAAATAAACTCATATTTTAATTCCTTTTTCCCATGATTTTTTTTTAAGCTTTTGCCATAGGGCACATACGCTCACTGGAGAGAGACAGAGAGGGAAAGTCAGAAATCACCCTCCAGAAGGAATGGCCACCCACAGTCCTTTCTCTTCCATTATCCTCTTGGGATTCTGGGCAATCATACGTGCGTAGCATGATTTTCAAGCCACCGGGTCCAGACTCAAATTGCAGTTAGCCATGTGGGAGTCTAGCGCCTTAACCACCATACCACCTGCTGGCTCTCCCATAAAAAAATTTTTGGTTTTTTTTTTTGCTATAGGGTGCGTGTGCTCGCCAGACAGACAGAGAGAGACAGAGAGACAGAAAGCGAGAAATCACCCCCCAGGGAAGATGGCCACACCACAATCCCTTCTCCTCTCGGGATCGTGGGCACACACACACATGCCTGGAGTGAGTTTTAAGCCACCGGGTCCAGGACGCGAACCGCAGTCAACTACATGGGAATCCAGCGACACAGCCTAATATTACGCTAACTGCAGGTCCCTCCCATGAAATTTTTGAGGCTACCTCATATTCTGGTCTATTTTGGGGCTCCTCAAACCTACACAGCTCTCCCCTACCCCTTCCCCTCACACTTTACACTCCTTCTCCCCACTGCCCTGGCCAGTCCAAGACTTCCAAGCTCTTCATTTGACTTGCAATAGTCCAGATACACACATGGCCTATGTCCTCACATCATGTCTTCTCTCAGATATAACCACTTCAGAGAAGTCATACCAACAATGTTATCTAAAGTAGTCTGACCTTTGCCTATTTTCCACAAAATTGTTTCCTAGATATGATACCAAAAGCACAGCCACAAAAGAATTAATAGAATGGAATAGAATATTATTCAGCCTTAAAAAGAATAAAATACTGATACCTACTATTATATGGATGAATCTAAAAAACATACACTAAGTGTGACAAGCCAATCATTAGCCATCTATAGTTGAGTTCTAAGAGGCCTGTTTCAGGGACTAAGGCAATTGACTTTCTGCTCAGATTTGTTTTTCTTTTTATCATTTATTTATTTATTTTTACATTTCTCCACAAATGTCTACTTTACATATCAAAAAATGTTTGCTTATACTCCACAGTTCTTGACAGTTAATAAACAACTTTCAAATTTTCAAAAAACTGAATTTTAAAGATAATCTTAGAAATATTTGTTATAATTTTGTTTGTGACTTGATAACAAGATACAATATGGTTTTAAGTATTTTTTAATTTCAAATTATTTATTTGCATTCATTCACTGTACATCATTACAGCATACAAAATGAGATTTCCATCCAGAGTACACTGTACATTGTCTCAATCAAGCACATCAACAAACATGTTATTGTCAGCAAATAATTTTCCATTTCTTATTTTCTGTATGTTTTGCTTTTTTCCCCCCATCTTTGATTCCCTATCTCTTTTTTTTGGAGAGGTTTTCGCTATAGGGCGCATGCGCTCGCCAGACAGACAGAGACATAGAGACAGAAAGCGAGAAATCACTCCCCAGGGGGGATGGTCACGCCGCAATCCCTTCTCCTCCATTCTCCTCTCGGGATCTTGGGCACGCACGCACACACGCCCAGCGTGA